GCCCGCCCGGAGCCCCCGCCCCTCTAGGCCCCGTCCCGGCCCTATCAGGCCGAGCCGACCTGCGCCTCCCGCTCGGCCCGGCTTCCGCTCCGGCTCCGGCTCCGGCTCCCGCCCCGCTTCACCAGGACCCGCAGCCGTGAGCCGGTCCCGCCGCCTCCATCCCGCCGGCCTTCCCAGCAATCCCCGCGCCGCCTTAAAGGTGAAGCCACTACCGCGTCGGATGGGGCGAAACGCGCTCCTTTCGGCACACTGCCTGCCTTAAAGGAGCAGCTCCACCCGGCCTGGCCGGCTCCGGGAGGGGGCGTGGCCACCGAGGCGGAGGGGCGGGGCGGGGCGGGGCGGGTCTGCCCCGGGGCGCGGGTTCCCAGCGTCCGCTACCCAAGCTCCTACAACCCGGACTTACTGGCAGTCAAAGCCCGAGGCCTTCTGCTGCCAGGGGTGTAGAACACCTCGGGAGATCGTGACACGATTGCAGCCATAGCGGCGGGCAGACGGGCGGCGGGAGAAACTGAGGACCAGGCAGAAGCCTTGCCCGGGCTATCTCGTAATCAGGAGCGAGGCTGGGACTAAAAATAACAATAGTTGTTGCCATTTATTGGGCGCCTGGTGTATGTTGGGAAACTCTGGTGGCTTAGTGGTAAAGAGTTCGGCTGCTAACCAAAAGGTCGGCAGTTCGAATCCACCAGGCGCTCCTTGGAAACCCTATGGGACAGTTCTACTCTGTCCTATAGGGTCGCTGTGAGTCCGAATAGACCGATGGCAACGGGTTTTACTGTGTGTCGGGCGCTTTGGTGCCTTCAGTACATTAATGCATTTAACGCTCACAAAGACCCGCCTCTCACAGATCTGATTCTTGGGTGCTGTTTAGACCCCATGTGATGGTAGAACTTCCCCCATTTTCAAAGCTGTAATCTTTACGAGAGCAGATCACCAGGTCTTTCGAGGAGCCACTGGGTGGGTTTGAACCGTCAACCATTCTGCCAAGTCTCTTTTCACAGATATGTACCCAGGCTTGTTCGTCTCCAGACCCAGACCTTCGGTCTTAACCCCAGCTTCTAGGTGGTGGTTATGCCCCACCCCCTTCATGGCTGTCTTTGGCCCTGCAGGGGATTCATGGCATCTCAGGGCTGCTTCTTAGGGGGCAAGGGACCGAGGCTTCTGGCCCTAAGGGAGAAAGGGGTGGCAAGGAGCAGCCAGCCATCAAGACTCGTGGCCCTGTGAGTGATGATCAGGACGAGGTGGAGCATCCTTGGTCTGTGATGATGTCATTCCAAAAACCAAACCCACTGATACTGAGTTGATTCTGATTCATAGTTGACTTATTGTGACCCTATAGGGCAAAGTAGAACTGCCCCATAGGGTGTCCAAGGAGTGGCTGGTTGATTCAAACTGCTGACCTTTTGGTTAACAGCCACAGCTCTTAACCACTGTGCCACCAGGGCTCTGATGGTGTCATTAGGGGCTCAGATTAAATGTCACCTCCTCAGAGAGGCCTTCTTTGATTCCTCTCCCCCAACTAGAACAGCCCTGCAGCCCCTCTCCAGAATTCTCTGATTAACACTTATCCCTCCAGCATTTTTTCTTGGTTTGCTGTCTCCCCCTGGAATGCAGGCGAGGACCTGCTCATCTTGTTCTTTCTTAGAGCAGCTCCTGGTGGGAACATAGCTCAGTAAATGTTGGTTTAAAAAAAGACAGAGGTGAAAACATTATGCTTAGTGAAATAAGTCAGTCACAGAGGGTTACTGTCTGATCCCACTTATATGAAATATCTAGGATAGGCAAATGCATACAGACCAAAGTTTATAAGTGGTTACCAGGGACAGGTGGCAAGGAGGGAAGAAGGGGGACTCACTGCTTGGGACACTGAGCTTCTGTTAAGGGTGATGGGAAAATTTGGAAACAGATAATGGTAATGGTAGAACAATATGATCGACAACTAACGTCACTGAATTGTACACATGAATGTTGAAACAGCAAATGACTGGTTACATATATATTTACCACAATAAAAGAAAAACACACATCAACTTGTTTTAGATGGCATCTTGCACAAAGCAAATATTGAATAAATTATTACTGAATTATTAAAAAAAAAAAAAAAGAGGATTCCCCTGATGGTCCGGCCAGGTTCCTCCCTGACTCTGGGTTCTGGTTTGGGGCTCTGCAGCCCTAGGTCAGAGGCCACCCTAGCACTGCCCCCATTGCTTCTAGGTCACTGGCACTCAGGGGTGACAGTGGGCTGACCACCCCGGGGACAAAAGCTGCACAGGGATGTGGCGCATGCCTCCTGAGGTAGAATGGGTTCAGATTCAGGATTCACCTGGCTCAGCATCCTGGTGGGCGCAAGCATCCTTTTGGCATCATCTCTGACTGCAAGATGGTCCAGCACTCTTAGCTTGAGTACATCCTGTGACCGGAAGCTCACTGCATTCTGCTGTGAGACAACTCTACATGTTAGGAAGTTTTTCCTAAAATAGACTTAAAAGTATCTGTCAAAACACTTAATTGTGCTCATGAGGAACCTATGCATAGACCAAGAGGCAGTCGTTCGAACAGAACAAGGTGATACTGCGTGGTTTAAAGTCAGGAAAGGTGTGCGTCAGGGTTGTATCCTTTCACCATACTTATTCACTCTGTATGCTGAGCAAATAATCCAAGAAGCTGGATGCTGTGAAGAAGAATGGGGCATCAGGATTGAAGGAAGACTCATTAACAACCTGTGTTATGCAGATGACACAACCTCACTTTCTGAAAGTGAAGAGGACTTGAAGCTCTTACTGATGAAGATCAAAGACCACAGCCTTCAGTATGGATTACACCTCAACATAAAGGAAACAAAAATCCTCACAACTGGACCAATAAGCAACATCACGATAAACAGGAAAAAGATTGAAATTGTCAAGGATTTCATTTTACTTGGATCCACAGTCAACACCCATGGAAGCAGCAGTCAGGAAATCAAATGACGCATTGCATTGGGCAAATCTGCTGCAAAAAATCTCTTCAGTGTTAAAAAGCAAAGATGTCACCTTGAAGACTAAGATGTGCCTGACTCAAGTCATGGTATTTTGAATCACCTCATATGCATGGGAAAGCTGGACAATGAATAACAAAGTTGGAAGAGGAATCGATGCCTTTGAATTATGGTGTTGGTGAAGAATATTGAATATACCATGAATTGCCAAAAGGACGAACAAATCTGTCTTGGAAGAAGTACAGCCAGAATGCTCCTTAGAAGCAAGGATGTCGAGACTTCATCTCATACTTTGAGCACGTTTTCAGTAGGGACCAGTCCCTGGACAAGGACATCATGCTTGGTAAAGTAGAAGTTCAGCAAAAAAGAGGAAGGCCCTCAACGAGACAGATTGACAGAGTGGCTGCAACAATGGGCTCAAGCATAACAACAAACAACAACAGGGCTGTCATGGATTGAATTGTGTCCCCCCAAAATGTGTGTCAACTTGGCTAGGCAATGATTCCCAGTATTGTGTGATTGTCCACCATGTTGTCATCTGATGTGATTTTCCTATGTGTTGTAAATCCTATCTCTGTGATGTTAATGAGGCAGGATTAGAGGCAGTTATGTTAATGAAGCAAGACTCAATCTACAAGATTAGGTTGTATCTTGAGTCAATCTCTCTTGAGATATAAGAGAAGCTAGCAGAGAGACGGGGGACCTCATGCCACCAAGAATGAAGAACCAGGAGGAGAGTGCATCTTTGGACTCAAGGTCCTTGCACTGAGAAGCTCCTAGAACAGGGGAAGACTGATGACAAGGACCTTCTCCCAGAGCTGATAGAGAGAGAAAGCCTTCCCCGGCAACTGACACCGTGAATTCGGACTTTTAGTCTCCTAGACTGTGAAAGAATAAATTTCTCTCTGTTAAAGCCATCCAGTTATGGTATTTCTGTTATAGCAGTACTAGACAACTAAGACAAGGGCTCACTCCTGCCTTAGCTCTATTTTCAGGAAGAACAGTCTGCCTCCTTTCTGCCAATGAAGTTATTTGGAGACAGCGATGGTGCCCCACCCAGTCTCCCTTCTGTTTGGCCTGATGGCCCCATCCCTTCACCCACTCCTACGCAGTTACCTGACCCTTCCCCATCCTGATTTCTCTTTTCTGGGGTAGTTCAGCATGTCAAAGTTGCTCTTGGAATGTGTTGTTCAGCCCAGGGCAAGCGATCCAGACCAGGTGTGAACTGCACAGGACAAGGTGGGACATGGGCCTCCCTGAGGGAGCATGCCTGTCTTCCAGTAAAGCCATGTCTGCTCAGGTTAAGCGTGTGTCAGTGAATACCCTAGGCACTGACATCCCAGGTACAGTCCACCAGGTTCTTCTCCCCTGTCCTGTGCTGCTGCTGATTTTTTTCCTGTGATTTTTTAAGATAGCTAATACATTCATCCACACCCATCTGTCAGTTTGTTGTACTGTGGTGGCTTGCATGCTGCTGTGATGCTGGAAGCTGTGCCAGCAGCATTTCAAGTACCAGCAGGGTCACCCAGGGTGGACGGGTTTCAGAAGTGCTTCCAGACTAAGACAGACTAGGAAGGAAGGCCTGGTGATCTACTTCTGAAAATTAGCCAATGAAAACCCAACAGATCGCACCAGTGTATTGTCCAATAGAGTGCTAGAAGATGAGTCCCCTAGGTTGGAAAAACCAAACCCATTGCTGTCGAGTTAATTCTTACTCATGGTGACCCCATGAGCTGCAGAGTAGAACTGCTTCATGGTGTTTTCTTGACTGTCAACTTTATGAAGCAGATTGCCAGGCCTTTCTTTCCAAGTTCTCCTGGGTGGGGAAATCCTGGTGGCGCAGTGGTTAAGAGCATGGCTGCTAACCAAAAGGTTGGCAGTTTGAATCCACCAAGCACTCCGTGGAAACTGTATGGGGCAGCTCTACTCTGTCCTACAGGGTCGCTATGCACTGGAGTCAACTCGACGGCAACGGGTTTTTTGGTTTTTACTGGGTGGGTTCCATCTGCCAATCTTTAGGATAGTAGATGAGCGCAAATCGTTTGTGCCACCCAGGGATCTTCCCTAGGTTGGAAGGCACTCAAAATACACAGTGGCTGCCACAACAGTAGACTCAAGCATGCCAATGATCGGGGGATGGAGCAGGACCAGGCAACAGTTTTATTCTGTTGTATATGGGGTTCCCATGAGTCAGTTAGCAACAGATACATTCATATGATACAAAATTCCAAAGGCATACAAAGGTTACAAGGAAATGTAGTTCTTCCTCCGACCTTT